TGAAACAAGTTGAGCACAAGGCGGTGAGTTGTACCTCAGACCTCTGCTTAATGAAATGATTCAGCTTCTAAAAAGACTCTGCCTCTCTTAGACTTTGTAACCATGGGCTGCTTATGAGTCCAGTATGGGACTTGTATCCCATAAAAATGTCGATATATTTGGGAAGTGTTTGTAAAGGGGTTTGTACCAACCTGTTGCAATGTCTCAGGAGCTTCCCTGTGTTGGCAGTACCATTGCTGTCAGCAGGCAGACATGAAGGAGACCATGCCTTTCGTTACAATCTGCATGTAAATTGGTGTAAAGTAGCTCCAGATTAACAAAGGCAGGAACTTTAAGAAAAGCTTAATTCTAGCTTTAGAAGTAACTTAAATTAAGTGAAGACTGTGTTGATGTTCTAACCCATAAGTGTCTAGAGGTCTCAGTAATGTGACTTAGGTCAGGTTGAGTTGTAGAGCGCTGAAAACACCTTTAACTGTGATTTGTTTCCTTGATTTCAGGGGATTACATTTAAGCGTATAGGTGTTCCCTCTGCTACAGATGTAATTAAAGCTTCGAGTAATGATGCCAAAAAGTAAGTTTATTTGCCTGTTCTTAAAGGATGTCTAGAGATCTTACCAACAGCAGTGCTGTTAGGGCAGAGCTTTAAGGGATCAGACCTGTATGTGAGCATGTTGTAGAAGTCAGCTGGTTTGCATGTAGACACTGACTTGTTCTCATAAGACAATATCAGTAAACCCCTATATGCTTAAACACAGACTTTTTCATAGAACATAATGTTCTCCAAGTTCTTACAAAAAATAACCTTTGTTTATATCATCAGAAATCAATAGCAGAACAGGGAGTGTGTCATGTGGGGAAACTGATTTTGTCTGCTCCGATGATAGAGTAGCAGTCTGTAAAGAGCAATACTTAGCATAATGAGGAGTCACTCTGCAGTAGCGAGGGTGTTGTAGCCCTGTCCTGTTTCTTTGTATTGTTTTATTTGCAAGGGTTGTGTTTTTTACTCCATGCAGCTCTGTTTACATTTGCTGCCCCTTTGGTGGAAACTACATTGCTAATTGTAATAATCTCTGTCAAGGATTTGACCAGTGTAAAGGAAATCAGGGGCATGGTGTTGGGTTCACTGCATACTGAAAAATGGTGGGAGGTGCTGGTGTACCAAAGAAAGCATTAGAGAAGTAGCTGTTCTGTTTCCCAGCTTGTTTTCTCCCAGAAATAACCAATTTAATCAGCTTGCACTGAGTGCAAGAAATGCCTTGCCCCAGCCCAGCAGTGGCATTGTAGTGGTTTGCTTCCTTGTGAAGTAGAAACAGGGGATTCTTGGGTTTGTTGGCAACGCTCTTGTGGATTCTTGGGTACAGTCTTAAGAATGCTGATATTTTAGAGCCTTCTCTTGATGGTTTTATCAATGCTTTCAAGCACGCCACATTGTACATCCTCAGTTTTGAAGGCATCTTCCAAGGGGCTTGGGTTAATGAACACAGAAGGAGGGTATTCAGCATCCAGAAGGTGTTAAGTGAGTGGTAGTGAAGCACGAGCATGATAGCCAAGGCTTTTAGGAAGAATTTGTTAATCTTGAAAACTGTCTAAAGTCTGTGTGCTAAACCTGACTGCACTTCATGCTGGCCTTTGCTGATCTCTTAAACTTTTGTTGTCACCCTGTAGGCTGTTGGAGGCCATTCCTCCTTCTGCAGTGGACTACTTCAGAAAATCTGCTCAAGAGCTCATAGACGAAAAAGGGGCAGTTGCTGCCCTGGCTGCAGCTCTAGCCCATATTTCTGGGGCATCTTACATTCAGCAGCGCTCCTTACTCAACTCAACTGCGGTAAATAATGTTATACCTCTGTTAACAAGAATGGATAAATCATAGAATTCCTTGAGTAGAATAGAATTCTGGAATTTAATAGAATTCAGATTAATTCCTTGCATCCAGTCCAAGTGTAGCATCTTCTTCTCAGGTTTTTCAGTAGGGTTTCTGAACAGCTTTTATCACCAGCTTCTGGTTTGTTGCTCGTTCTTTAACTGAAATCATGCTCTTACTGACACCCTGCAGGAAACCAGAGAAACTTGATACTAGTAAATTTTCTTGTAATCAGAGTTAAAAGAATTTCTCCAGACATCTAAGTGACAGAAGACTTTGATGCTTTAAGAGAGTTCAACTAAAGACATTTTACAAGCTAATGGATTGGTTTGTGCTATTGCAGTTTTCCCTTCCCAGGAAGCTTTTACATTTCTGTAATATTTCAAGTAAGTCTAGCGCAGGGTTACCTGATTTCAAAGAGATCTTGACAGAAGAAAAGTACAGCCCTTCCTTTTTCTGATGCATTTAGGGAGAATTTGGGCCAGTTTGTTGCATGGTAGCACAATTTTGGAAATAGCATGTGGCTGTGCTGTGCTGCTTGTATCAGTTTGGGGGATTTTTACCCATTTTCTAATGGGAATTTTCTGTATGTATTGAATAAATGTGTCTCTGCTTCTGGCTAAAATACAGAAGTGCTACTGGCCTTTATATCAATGGGCAATCCTAGGTTAAATGGATGCCCTTGGCTGCTTAGGAAGCTTTTATTGCTTCGCTTTTGGGAGGCTGATTTCTTAGGATTAAATACTAGATTACTACAATACTACAACAGCAAGTTATTGCATAGTTCATTAGTGAGTGAGTTTACAGGCTGCCCAACCAAGTTTAGTCTTGTAAATGTTTTTCTCCGATTGCTTCCTGAAGGGCTTTGTGACCATGGTGTTAAAGTGTTCAATAGAAATACGAACCATGAGCTACGCCTGGCGAGGACTGAAGGAGCAGCTCGGGGAGGAAGTGGATGCCAAAGTGTCCGCGATGCGTTTCCTCAAGGGGAAGATGGTAAGATGGCCCAGCCCTGGGGAAGGAGGGTGTGTGAGTGTGTACATGTACAGCCAGTTTTTGCAGTGACTGAGACAGGAGTTCTGAAGTACCGGCACAGAAGTGTTGATACCTCACTCTGTTCCTACTCAATCTCATTTCTCAGAAAGTGGTAACCTATCAGGAGCCCACCTGAAGCTGCTGTTTATGTATACATTATTAAAAAAACCCCAAACATTGAAGCTAGTTGAGTGTTTTAAAAGACACTTATGTGAATGGAGACATTGCTCCTAAGTTGATAATGCAGGAATTCTCTCCTAAAAAAAAAAAAAAAAGAGCATCAGAAATTGGTGACTTTGTTTATTCGTTGTAAACTCATGCTAACACTGTACACCACTGTGCTGCAAAGGCAGCTGTAGAGTAGGGCACTGACTGACTGCCTGACCTGAGCATTTACCTGACTGTCAGCCTGACTCCTGACGTGTCTGATGCTTGTCTCCTGTGCAGGTGTGCTCTTGGAGAGCTTGTAGTTCCAGGTGTTGCCTGTCTTGCTGTTAAAGTGACAGGGTGATTGCAGGCAGTGCTGCTGTCAGCACAGAGCATTTGAAGCTGCATTTTGAGTTTTCGTGTTTTAACTGCTTTTTTTTTTCCTTTGGTTTATCAAAAATCTTCCCCCAAAAGATCATGCTTTCTGCCATTTTTGGTTTTTATACTTAGCATGTATGAGTGGTTGCAGTTGCTGCCTGTCTAAATGTGTGTGTCTGTGTTCTTGGATGTATCTTTGGAAAGCTAATGCCTCTCTTTTTTTTTTTTGCTGTTATAGGGAGTGTGCTTTGATATCCCTGTTGACGAACTGAGTAACATACAGGTATGTTTTTTGTAGCCAGAATTGCCTTTGGAACTTGGTGATTTGAAATTTGGTGATGGCTGTGTATAGGATAGAAAATAGGGTGGTTTGGGAGGGTAAGGTTTGTGTTTTAATAAGGATGTTGCGTAGATAACAGAGTCATTAGAGCAGAGCACAGTTATTAGAAAATACCTTGTCATGCCTCTATCTCATTTCAGTTTATGTATTACCTGATTTTATTAAACAAAATCCTATGTTCTTTGGCTACTCTGCGTTTTGACCTCTGAGAGTAACTGAGAGTTCACCACTTCTCTGTTGACTTCACTCCCTCTTGTCCCTTTGTGGTTGTTTTTCCTTTGTCACGGGTCTGTGATTTGTCCCCCAGGAGGGATCTGTCCCCCCAAGAGGGATTTGTCTGGAAATGCCTTTGCTTTCAGTGTTGCTTTTAATGATTTTGGGTTCCTCGGGCACCCCTGCAGGCACATAAAGCCTTGTTACCTTGGTCTTGTTCCAGGAGCAGTGGAGGGACACCAGGCGCTGGCAACTGTCGGTGGCAAAGGAATTGCCCGAGCTGGAAGAGTACCCACAGGAGACAGGACGAGGGTTCTCCAGGTTTGGAAACGGGAGGCAAAGTGACAGCAGCTTCAAGAGAAACAGCTGGTTTAAGAACGGAAACCGGGGACATGATTTTAACAAGTCACAAGATTAGCAGTCGGTACAGATACGGGACTGAGCTCATTTTTATCAAAAAGTAAAAAAGCCTGTTAGACGATCCTCTTTGTCTTTATTCCTTGATAAAGCAGCCTGTCTTTGAGGACTGATGAAATGACAGGGGTTTTTTGGAAGATTTTCCTTCTTGTCCACCACCTTTCCCCGCCGTTGAATGCAACGCCCCACCTCCCCGTGCGTCACTGCAAACTCAGCGCTGGGGGGGAACAATGCTGTTACAAACACGGACAGTTACCACTCCTTGCCTGTTCGCCAGCCCTTGCATTAAAAAATTTTGGTTCTAAAAGGAAAATATTTCCTCAGAAAAATTTGAGATGGAAGCCCCTCAGCAACCGTCCCAGGGGCTCCGGTGGCCGGGGGGCTGCTCCCGCTTGCCTATCGCCGACTGCTCTTCCTCAACGCTTGGCGCAGTTTGCTCTCAATCCCCGCCATAGCGGCTTTGGGGGAAAAACACTCAGGATCGGTAACGGCGGGAGCGGGGAGCCTGAGGCGGCGACTGTCGCCATGACGGCGGGAGGGGGAGGAAGGGGGCGGGGCCTTCCCCCCGTAGCGCGGCGCTGATTGGCTGGCGGCGCGTCAGGTGGCGGCGCGCGTGACGCGGGGCGGCCGTGGGAGGAGGGAAGATGGCGGCGGGTGGCAGCAGCTGGGCCGCGGTGTGCGAGAAGTTCCGCACCGCCCGCACTCTGTCTACCGTGGAGTCCCGCAAGGACCCGGAGACCGAGCCCTACCGCTCTAAATACAGCGCCCGCGCCCTGCTGCAGGAGGTCAAGCAGCTGCTGAGCGCCGCCGAGGAAGGCGACGAGGCGCGGCTGCTGGCCGTGCGGCGGGCCGTGCTGGAGTACGAGCTGGGCGTCAACCACACCGACACCGAGGAGCTGTCGGCCGGCGAGGAGCACCTGCAGCGCTGCACGCAGCTGCTGGAGCCACACCGCCTCTCCCCGGACTGCGTCTCCCTCTACATACAGGCCCAGGTGGGGCTGGGGCTGTGCGGGCCGAGGGAGCTCTGAGGGGCCTGGGGGGGTGTTTGGGTCTGAGGGACCCGGGGGGGGCGGTGTTTGGGCGGTGTGAGGTGATGGGGGTTGTCCTGGTTTGAGGTAAAACAGCAGCCAGTCCAGCCCAAACCACGCCGTGTCTGTGGGGCCTGCTGTGTGGTCACTGCAAACGGGGCGAGGGAGGTTGGTGGCACCCCTGATGCGTAAGGCTTGTTTAATAATAATAATAACGATACTAATTATCAGGGCTGCTGGTGCTTGCTTTGCACTCGAAGAAATAACTCACCAGTGAGGGCTGTGGAGGGATGCTGTTCTCTTCCAAGCCAGCTGGTGATGCCTCTAGGTGTGCAGAGCATCTAACAGCATGTTCTCTTCACAGAAACGGGGTGTTGCCAAGGCAAGATGCTCTTAAGCATAGACCGAGACAGGACTTGTAAGAACTGAGCAGGAATAAGTTAGCAGAAGACCTTAGTGTGTCCAGAACTTACTTGTCATTCCTTAACTGTCATTTGTTGTCAAAGTAAAGCTGGGAGATGCTTTTATTTATGTGGTATCCTCAAAAGTTGTCACTTGTTTGCTTTTCAGCCTTGCCTGTTATCTCTTAATCTACTATATTTCATTCCAGATGGGCAAATATGGTTTTACGGGGTTAGAAGTAATAATATTCACCTCTTTCATTCTGAAGAAAATAATACCATTAACAAAATTGGTTCTTACCATGTAAAGATTCACAAAAGGGCTTTGCTCACCCAGTCCATTGTGGCAGCTGGTGTATAGTTGGATCTCTCTCTCTAGACTTTAAATGAAATAGAACAGTTATTTAGATGTCTCTGTCAAAAATGGTTGCTCTAATTAGCAAAGGCTCAGTAGTACTTCCTTGTTAAACATGGCAAAACTGTCAAGGCATTGTGTGTTTGTGTGGAAGGGCACTAGTTATACAGTGACTTGTCTTACATTGGGTAAGTTAGCTGAGTTGTCTGGAACTTGGAATCACAGAATCGCCTGGGTTGGAAGGGACCTTTAAGGTCATCTAGTCCAACCATAAAAACAAACAAAACCCACCATCAACCAACACTAAGCCATATCCCTGAGCACTGTGTCAACTCGTCTTTTGAATATCTCCAGGGATGGTGCCTCAGCCACTTCTCTGGGCAGCCCATTCGAAGGCTTGAGCCCTTTCTGTGAGAGAAATTTTTCCTGACATCCAACCTGAACCTCCCCTGGTGTAACTTGAGGCCATTTCCTCTTGTCCCATCACCTGTAACTTGGGAGAAGAGACCAACCACCATCTCTCTACACCCTTCTTTCAGGTAGTTATAAAGAGCAATAAGGTCTCCCCTCAGCCTCCTTTTCTCCAGGCTGAACACCCCCAGCTCCCTCAGCCTCTCCTCATAAGACTTACTCTCCAGACCCCTCACCAGCTTCGTTGCCCTTCTCTGGACTCACTCCAGCCCCTCAATGTCTTTCTTGTAGCGAGGGGCCCAAAACTGGACACAGCACTTGAGGTGAGGCCTCACCAGTGCCCAGTCCAGGGGGACGATCACCTCAGGAGTCCTACTCATCACACTGTTCCTGACACAGGCCAGGATGCTGTTGGCCTTCTTGGCCACCTGGGCACACTGCTGGCTCATGTTCAGCTGACAGTTGACCAACACCCCCAGGTCCTTTTCTTCCCGGCAGCTCCCCAGCCACTCTGCCCCCACCCTGTAGCGCTGCAGGGGGGTGGTGTGGCCATATCGAAGGCCTTGCTAAAGTGCAGGTACACAACATCCACAGCCTTTCCTTCATCCAGCAAGCGGGTCGCTTTATTGTAGAAGGAGATCAGGTTTGCCAAGCAGGACCTGCCCCAGCAGGACTCCCACCACAATATCAGCCTTGCTGGCCCTCCCCCTGATTCTTACCCATAGGCACTCAACTCTACCATTACCCTCAGTTAGTTCCACACACTGATAATCCTCCCTAACATAGACAGCCACCCCTCCTCCTCTCCTTCCTTGCCTGTTCCTTCTGAAGACCTTGTAGCCATCCATTGTAGCACTCCAGCCATTCGATTCATCCCACCATATTTCCCTGATGGCAACTACATCGTAGCTGTCCTGCTGCACAGTGGCTTCCAGCTCCTCCTGTTTGTTGCCCATGCTGCGTGCGTTTGTGTAGATGCACTTCAGCTGGGCTAATTGTCCTGCCACTCTTCGGGGGGAACGAGTCTTATTTCCCACCTGACTGTGTTTAGTCTCTTTTGTAGTTGCCAACCTGTTTCTTCTCCTTATGTCTTCGCTACTGTATGGAGGGTGGAGACCCCTGCTGTCCCCCCATCCTTCCAACCCTGATGTGTCATCCTGCCACTTGCCACAGACCCTTCTGATATTATCGTTGTCATCCGCCTCAGGTGCAGTGGCAGGCTGGAGGCTCTCCTTGGGCTCATCTCCAGTGTGCCTGTGTTTAACTCCCTTTCACATTCCCTTACAGACCTTAGTTTCTTCATCTCTTCCTTCAGTTCAGCCACCATGTTAAGCAGGTCGTTGATCTGCTCACACCTAACACAGGTGTTGTCTCCACCATCCTCTGTTGCAAGGTTCCAGCACTCACTGCAGCCGGTTGCCTGGATGTTTGTGTGTGGCCTCTCTTTGGGTACCCACAGGTCTTTTTAACAGCCTTATGTCGAGTTATAACCGTGGCTCGATCTCTTCAGGCAACCGACTTTCTGCAGGTACCTTTCCACTATTATTCCAGCTCAGAAAATGGAATATTCTGGTACTTTCCAGAAAAACGTTTCTGATATAAAAGCAGTAATTGTCAAAGGTGGCCATACTTGTCCGTGTTCTAGGACGTACCCAGCACGTTGTCACTGCACTGACTTCTGTTTTTGAAAGAAGGAGCATTCCTTTTTCCTGCAGGGCCTGTTTCTGTAGCCCTGCTGCTATTTTCCAAGCTTCTGCTTAAGGATATTTATCAGTTTCTGTCTAATAAAATTTGGTCTGTTCCACTGCTCGGCCGTGGGCAAAGTATTTCTCTTCGTAAACATCGTGCTGTGTGGTGCTTTCTTATAATAAAATAAATGGAATTGAAAGGAACAGGGGCTGGCACACAACTGCACATTTTAAGTCTTTTGAACGTTTTTTTTTTTGGTCATGTTGGATTTTGTAACAACATTATCTAGGAATTAAATTAGCACTTCAGACACAGACTTTGTATAGTGCCTTCATCTTATTGATAGAATTAGAGGCACTTTTTTTAAAAGGTGGGTTCACAGATGCAGTAACATTACTGTGTATGTTGCTGTAATTTAGATTTGAAGGCGGTAATCTGTAGCTTTTGCATCTTAATGGTTCTTTTAATCTCTTTTCATTGTTGAAAACATACAAGCATTCATTCCTTATATCTTTTTCCTGTCAAATTTTTCTACAGTCATGATGACAAATTTCTTCTTCCTTGGTTCTTTTTATGATATTCGTATACGATATAAAAGCTGCATGAATCAGGTGCAGAACATACTGTATGGAAAAAGCTTATTATTTGAACACACCAGTTCTTATTTAGCAGAGTAAACACAGAGCGTTACAGCTTGTGAGGTGACTTTTGTGTGTGTTTGCTGCTGTGTGAAAACCCTCCCAGAGTAAACACAGAACGTTACAGCTTGTGAGGTGACTTTTGTGTGTGTTTGCTGCTGTGTGAAAACCCTCCCTTTTGAACAACTTGTGATAAAACGGCTGGGCACGATATTTGCTTTTTGAAATCCATTGTATTAGAACATATATATATGTATAGGGATGAAGACTCATAAAATATTTGGAGAAAATGTGTAATATAAATGGAATATAATGGGAAAATAACTATTTTTTTCTGCTTACCTTTAGAACAATCTAGGTATCCTCTGGTCCCTAAGGGATGAAATTAAAACTGCGCAAACTTACTTGGAATCTGCAGAAGCCTTGTATAATCAATACATGAAAGAGGTACTGTATTTATTAATATTGCAGCAGGGCTCACTCTCATGTGCCACTTACAGTTTTAGTAATCTTTGAAAAAAATGTATGGTGGAACTTAAGTTTCTGCGCTTTATACTGTCTGATACTTTTGAAAAGTGATATGATTTGTATTGCTAGTGTAAGAAGAGGCAAACTAGAGGATCATGTGTTCATTTCAAAATGGGGTTATTCAGGAAAATAATTTTGCTCAAAAGTAACGGGCCTCTTTGAAAGCTTGAATTGATACTCCAGAGGTGAAGCCAGGTAGAATTTTGCTTTTAATTAAGACTGTTGTTAACCTTATATTGGAAATGCTGTAAACCCACAATTTTTAGTAGGAAAAGGAAAGAAAACTGTAATATTTGCATGGTTTGCACTGACTGTGCACAGTTTTGGTGGAAGCAAGTAGTTCAGTTCCATAGCCAAGGGGACAATCTTACAAACAGCTAAACCTCCCATGCATATTAAACAACCTTTTGAGTTGTGGATTCTTCTGTGTATCAACAAAGACTCCCTTGTGCTATTTTTAAGCTCTTTGGAAAGCTGTTCCTACACTGACTTGCCTCAGGGACAGTTCGTGAGCGAACTAAAAACATTTGTGGCCTTAAAGGAACAGTATCTGTGTCTCAGGACAGCTATAAAGGTTGGACAGGACTTAGTTTCATGGAATTACAGTTCAGGTTTTCACAGAATTACAGAATCACAGACTTGTAGGGGTTGGAAGGGACCTTCAGAGATTGTCCAGTCCAACCCTCCTGCCAAAGCAGGTCCACCCAGAGCAGGTTGGGCAGGAACGCGGCCAGGTGGGGTTTGAATGTCTCCAGAGGAGGAGGCTCCACCACCTCTCTGGGCAGCCTTCTGGTCTCTGGCACCCTCAAGGTAAAGAAGTTTTTCTGCACATTCAGGCAAAGCTTCCTGTGTTTCAGCTTGTGTCCATTGCCCCTTGTCCTGTCACTGAGCGCCACTGAGAAGAGCCTGACCTCATCCTCGTGACACTTGCCCTTTAGATATTTATAAGTGTTGGTGAGGCCCCCCCCCAGTCATCTCTTCTCCAGGCCAAACAGACCCAAGTGTCTCAGCCTTTCCTCATAAGAGAGGTGCTCCATTCCCTTGATCATCTTTGTAGCCTTCAGCTGGACGCGGCCAGGTGGGGTTTGAATGTCTCCAGAGGAGGAGGCTCCACCACCTCTCTGGGCAGCCTTCTGGTCTCTGGCACCCTCAAGGTAAAGAAGTTTTTCTGCACGTTCTGGCAAAGCTTCCTGTGTTTCAGCTTGTGTCCGTGTGCTCATGGGCATCCTATTGCCCACCGGGACTTCCAGGTCTTTTTCCTCAGAGCTGCTCTCCAGCAGGTCACCCCCAACCTGTCCTGGTGCAGGGGGTTATTCCTCCTGAGGAGCAGGAACCACCACTTGCCCTTGTTGAATTTCATCTGGTTTCTCTCTGCCCAACTCTCCAGGTCTGGCTGTATGGCAGCACAGCCTTCTGGTGTGTCAGCCACCCCTCCCAGTTTTCTGTCGTCAGCAAACTTGCTGAGGGTACACTCTGTCCCCTCATCCAGGTTGTTGATGAAGATGTTGAAGACCAGACCTAGTAACTGACCCCTGGGGAGCAGGGATTGGTTTACAGCACAAATTATTGTGGAAATTTCAGGATGGGTTAGTCTTTATCGGCTGGTTACAGCCATATTCCCTCTGGATGAGTTGGTCTAACTAGAGATACTATATATCTCTACAGACCCTCTCTCTCATTAATTCCTGATCAACTTTGGTAATTATACCCAGGCAGGTGTGATGTTGTTAGCTTCCACATAATCTCTGAAAGATTCTGGCAGTTGCTTCAGTGATTGTGAAATTGAACTGGTACTACCATATTTTTCAGTGGGTTAAACAATGCTGCCAAATACTTCACATTTTCACTGTGGACTTTTCTGAAACAGTTATTTTTTGTTAGTAGTGACTAGTGAATGTTCCTCCTGGGCCTTCGCTGCCTGACTAGCATATAGATATATGACTGTCATTAAGCCCACGTCAGATCACGTCACGCTTTTTTGCTTGACTTTTTTTTATTTGCCACTTAGAATTCAGGGCATTACAGAACATGTCAAACATAGCTATGCCTAAAGATTATTTTTTTTTTAATTAGCTGCAACAGAAGACTGGTTTTGTGGTAACTTTATTGGACTTGTGTCATGTTCTCTGAAGATACTGAAATGTATTTGACATAATCTGCAAAGAATTAACAAAAAATCCCAACCACCCCCCCCAAAAAAACCCCCACAGGGTATGGGAGAACTTGTCTAACTGTTTAATGGTTTATAAGGAGGACTTGAGTTCCTTGCAGTGATGTTTGATCTTTAGAATTTGTACAGCCATGTCAACATTCATCACTTGCAAATTATAAAACTGTGAATATACTTTTCTTAACATTGTCCCTTTTTAGGCTATCAGGCCTTCCCATCTGGGAATCTTTGGTAAACTGTTGATGATTGAGGCGTTTTCCTGAACTGGTGGATTTATTATTTTTTTTTTACTGTGCGAGAACAACCACAAACCAACAGATGAAATACAAAGAATATTTCTGGTGCAGGCAGCAGGCATTAATTTAAAGTATGAAAACAGAAGTCTTTGAGAAGCTAAAAAACTTATAATTCTGTGTGGGATTGTGGCTTTCATCCAAATCTTCTGAGGTTTGTGGAATTGCTCCAGAGGTGGGACACTGAGATAGATGTAGATGCATTATATGAAGTTTTGTTGAATTTGGGATTGAAAAATGGTAAATCTTCTGCAGCCAGAAGAGGGAGCACTATGTTACAAAACTAGAGAAATGTCTTTGGCTGAATATATCACATACTCTTGCAGGATGGAAATCCTCCCCTGGACCCCAGTGAACATTTCATGGCAGAAGAAGAAAAACTCACAGACCAAGAAAGATCCAAAAGGTAGGTGCTTAGCAGCATACCTAGATTATGAATACTTCTGGAATTTATGTATTTAGGGAGGAAAAAAAAAAACCAAAATTGTTTTTTTTTCCAGATTTGAGAAAGCCTATACACATACTCTGTATTACCTGGCACAAGTCTACCAGCACCTGGAGATGATTGAGAAGGCTGCTCAGTATTGCCATACTACTCTTAAACGACAGCTTGAGTATTGTGGCTACAACCCGGTAGAATGGGCACTCAATGCTGCCACTTTGTCACAGTACTATCTCTCTAAGGTAACACACTTCACCTTTTTCTGCTGTAATTATATCCTAAATATAACTGTCAAGTAAGACAATTGTTTAAACAGCTGTTTGAGACAGGGCTCCATGTCAAATTAAAAATGTGCTTCTATAAGACCACAAGTTCTGACATGAAACATCTATGAGTATTTTCTGATGAGGACATAGTGTTTTTCCTGTGGTGTTGGGATGGCAATGGGAGAAATGAGCAGGTGTGTAGACATTAGAAAAGCTTTATAGTTCATGAAGTATCAGCAGTGATGTGACATGATGACCGTAAGTAACATTTTAAGGTTATAATCACTTAATTTAAAATAGTTTCTTATAATTGTATTGTTCTCTGATAATAAAGAGTTTAAAAACAAAAACCTTAGGGTAAAAACAAATACCTTAGGGCCAAGGTATTGCACATGTATGTTTCCTGTGAATTAATGTCCTTTGAACCTTAGCATGTGCTTCAGACTTGTTTGAGCCTGTGTGAACATTAAAGTGAATATATAAGATGTTTGCTTCCACGCATGTGTCAACGCAAAATAATCTACTGTGTTAGGAAATGCTTCAGCTTTATTTAGAAATTTCTATATTCCAGACTCTTCAGATGCTCTGTTCTGATGCTTAAAAGACTTCTGCCGTACCTAAGCCAGTTAATGCTAATTTCAATAGTAACTTGTAATTTCCACATCTTTTTGATGCATTGATAGCTGTAATCATTAAACAATGCACTGCTAAATGTGAGTAAAGGAATCTAAATCTGACTCACAATGTTATGTTGTGTGTCCAACTCACTCTAACAGCCCGTGATACAATCTTTACCACAAGACATCACTTCCGTTACCGCGAGGAAGCGAGAATAGATCAGAACGGTGAAAATGTTCACAATGCATGTATCTAATATTAAAAGCAAGGCTTGCTATTGTGGCTGTGGTAGAGAGAAAATGGTTGGTTAGAAAATACTGTATTTGGTAGTCAACGTGGAAAAATTGTGTCTTTTCTTCCAGTGTCCAGGGGAACACGCTCCAGAGCTTCAGTTGTGTCTTTTCCTTTCTGTTCATGTATCTTTACTGTGTGAGGTGAGGGGTTTGGCCAAGCTGAGACCAGCACTTGAGCTGTTAAAACCAGTGTTAAATGCTGCTGTTTGTGTTTCTCCCAGCAATGCTTTATGGAGGCCCGTCACTGCTTAGCAGCAGCCAGTGTCATCTTCAGCCAAGCTGAACAAGTGCCATCTGCTGAAGACAGTAAGTTCTGAAAAGTTTGTCTGAAAAGACAGTAAGTTCATACAAAAGTTTTGAATAAAACACTGTGAATTAAGCATCATTCGTATGTAATGTTAGAAGTGAAGTCTGGCAGTGGGTACAAAATTTAACCTGGTAAAGCGGAATGTTTCTGAAGAGCTGCTACTACAGTTTACAACTGGCTATGAGTAAACCCTCTGAAGACAAACTGTAGTGCTGCTTGCTGGTGTCTGAGAAAGCATACCAGAATGAAAGTGAAATTTAAAACAGTATCTGTTTCAGTAGTGGCAACGTCTCTGTTCACCCACTGATCCTTGGACATGTGCTTAAAATGCAGCTTCTCCATGATCAGAGGGCAATGATTCAATGAACCAAACCAGGTGCTTCCAGGGAATAGTTTTAAAAGAGGGAAGGAAACTGCAGCTCTTAAAAACCCTGAATCCAGAAGTTACTTGCATTGTCTTTTGTTGCTGGATAGTGCAGCCCCATTAACAGGTATTTTGGAGTTGTAGCTCCCCTCCTTCTTGTTTTGGGTATTGATGCAAAGGAACAACCTTGTGGTTCAGTGCAAAGACCAATAAAAGAAACTTTTAGAGAACTAACCCCAATTTTAAGGACTTGGAGTTAGGTGATAGTGTCAGTGCTCAACATAAATTATTTGGTTTAGGCTTAGTCTTTGCTTATCTACAGCACAGCCTTTTACATTCTGTGTCTTGGGCAACTGAAAGCTTCAAATCAACACAAAGATCAATAAAGGAAACTTTTAGAGAACTAACCACAATTTTAAGGACTTGGAGTTAGACGATAGTGTCAGTGCTCAACATAAATCATCTGGTTTAGTCTTTGCTTATCTATAGCACAGCCTTTTACATTCCGTGTCTTGGGCAACTGAAAGCTTCAAATCAATTGAGCTTTAACTCGTAGAGAGTGAGCAAGTACTCAGGGTAGCCCCTGTGTGAGTTCATAACTCTGACTTTGAACAGTGAATATATTGGTTAACTTTTAATGGTTTGAGCTGTTCAGAACACACAAGTTCTTTAATCACTGATGTTATTTCAGGTTAAAATATAACCTGAATAGACACAACTGAGTTTTATTTAATCAAATTAAAAACCCTGAATCCAGAAGTTACTTGCATTGTCTTTTGTTGCTGGATAGTGCAGCCCCATTAACAGGTATTTTGGAGTTGTAGCTCCCCTCCTTCTTGTTTTGGGTATTGATGCAAAGGAACAACCTTGTGGTTCAGTGCAAAGACCAATAAAAGAAACTTTTAGAGAACTAACCCCAATTTTAAGGACTTGGAGTTAGGTGATAGTGTCAGTGCTCAACATAAATTATTTGGTTTAGGCTTAGTCTTTGCTTATCTACAGCACAGCCTTTTACATTCTGTGTCTTGGGCAACTGAAAGCTTCAAATCAATTGAGCTTTAACTTGTCGAGAGTGAGCAAGTACTCAGGGTAGCCCCTGTGTGAGTTCATAACTCTGACTTTGAACAGTGAATATATTGGTTAACTTTTAATGGTTTGAGCTGTTCAGAACACACAAGTTCTTTAATCACTGATGTTATTTCAGGTTAAAATATAACCTGAATAGACACAACTGAGTTTTATTTAATCAAATTTCAGTGACAGTACATTAATTGCTTTTAAGCAATTTGGTACTTAAGCCAAAAAAAATGAGGTTATGTTTTCGGTAGGTGTGTAGAAATATACAGTCAGTTATGGTCTGTCAGTGACGGTATATGAATTGCTTTTAAGCAATTTGTTACTTAAGCCAAAAAAATTGAGGTTATGTTTTTGGTAGGTGTGTAGAAACATACAGTCAGTTATGGTCTCAAAATCAGGTGCAAGACTGGAAGCAGTAGATAAGAGTCCTAATTTTAGTTGTACTCTATAGATTTCTTTTTTTTGTGTGTGACTTTTGGTCAACTAGCTTCTGTTTATAGATTTCTTTTTTTTGTGTGTGTGTGACTTTTGGTCAACTAGCTTCTGTTTTGACTTCCTCTGACACCAAACAGGAGTAGTGATATTTGTGTTCGTTTCAATGGAGTAAATGTTTATCCTATTTCCCTTCCTTTTCATGATACGGAGGGCTGGGCTGTGGACTTCTGAAGATCATTATGCAGAAAGTTCTAACTTACAGAAAGACTAATACACAGTCAGCACTGGCCACTCTCAAGCACGTTCATTTTGTCATGTTTAATCAGAATATAAAGAAACAGAGATACTTAGTAAAGGAGTCTTTTCTCAGATTAGTAACAACTCTTATTTCCTTAATAGGAATAACTTGATTGGCTCCAATAGAACATAATGAACACAGTAGATCTGATCCTGAAGTTGGCTTCTTATTTTGTGAACAAGAATTCTTTTGTCCCCTCCTTGTTCAGCTGACTCCCTGCCTTTTGCCTAGAGGCTGGGAAATGAGTTCTCTTTGGTGAATCTCAGAAAACAAATTGTCCTGATTTCTTGTTCTTACTACAAAAAGATTTGAAAATATTTTTCCAGTAAAACACCTCCAAGATCAAAAATCTTTCTAAACCTACATTATGATCTATTTTTTTGGAAGAACTCATGCATAACAAATCCATGTTAGTCTATATGATTTTCTACCAGAGTGACAGTTTACAGAATTATTATATAAACTAACATGGAAAACATGTTGCTGTCTGAAAAGGAGGAAAAGTGAATTAAATGCAAGTAATGTATTCTTTGGATGTAATGTTTGAGGTTCTTGTTGGAGTGCTTGACTTCACTTAAGGTTTGTGTTTGTGTCCATTCAATAGATGAAACGGAGCAAGACCAACAGGACCTTCGACAGAGAAAAGCTGAAATTGCAAGGTGCTGGATTAAGTATTGCCTGAATCTTCTGCAAAGCACTCGGAAATTGCTTGAGGTAACCAAAAATCTGTTCTGTAGCTGCCATTGTTTAAAATCAAAGTCTATTTTGGTGTTTGGGACAGGAATCAATTCATAGTTGGTAGCAAGTGATAAAAAATTGCCCAATGAATAATAGAATAAATGCTTACAATGTAGCAGGTGTTTCATAGTAGACTTTGACTTTAATGCAGAATTTAGAAATAAGCAGGGGTAGGAGATCAGCTCTGTAGTGTGATCAGTCCACTGCTTGTATAGCAGCTCCACACATTTTCTCTCTGCTGCATTTTTTTGGGATTGATTTGGCAGATTACTCCTTACTTAACTGCTAGTAAGAGCATCTAAATATGCAACAGTTTTGTGTGCTGATGTTCTCATTTGTTCAAGCCTTTGATTCGTTCAGGTATTCATTTAATCATTCATTCGAATGTTTAAAACAGCATTTACTGAAATGCTTTGGAGAAGCAGGGCCTTTGCCTTTACATGTATTGTTTTGGCTATATTGTCACACAGGGCAGGGACAATAAATTGTCTTAGTCTTATGTTTTTACACAATTGAGGCTGGAATTTACATGATTTTTTTGTGGATATAAGGTCTAATATGACAATGTGTCTTCTGTCTTGTTGCTAACTAGTTTGTATTTCAAAGGTAATTAAAAAATAAAACGATTTGGTGTTAAGACACTCTTTGTAAGCCATGTGCATTTTTAATTAGTATGCTTTGTCATTTCAGGATAACATAGGAGAGCTGGATCCAGACAGACAGTTGGAACTCAAAGCCCAAAGGAAAAAAGAAGAAGATGAAAAAGAGAAGGGCAGGAAAAAAGCTGTCCTTTTTGGGACAAGTGATATATGTGACTCTGTTTTAGCCATGGAAGAGAAAGTGAGCAGTGTATATCCTTTAGATTTTCAAGAAGCCAGAGAAATCTTCCTAGTTGGTCAGAACTATGTTCTGGAAGCAAAAGAGTTCTTTCAGGTTGATGGTTACGTTACTGACCATATTGAAATTGTTCAGGATCACAGTGCTTTGTTTAAGGTACTTGCTTTCTTTGAAGAAGACTATGAGAGACGTTGCAAAATGCACAAGCGCAGACTAGACATGCTGGAGTCTATATATGTAGACTTGAACCCTCAGTACTATCTGTTGATTAGTAGGCAGCTTCAGTTTGAACTAGCTGACACCTATTATGAGATGATGGATTTAAAGATAGCTATCGGTAACAGGTTAGAGGAGCTAGACTCCCACACAATTAAAAAAATTAATTCTCTGGCTCAGTTAGCCATCAAGTATTATGAACTCTTCTTAGACTCTTTGAGGAACCCAGATAGGGTGTTTCCTGAACAGCTTGAGGAAGATGTTCTGCGCCCTGCAATGGTGGCTAAATTTCATATTGCACGACTGTATGGCAAGCTTATTACTTCGGATAGCAAAAAGCAACTGGAAAATATGCAGACATCATTGGAATATTACAGGTTTCTGGTAGACTATTGTGAGAAGTACCCAGATGCTGTCCGTGCCGTTGAAACTGAACTAGAACTCAGTAAGGAGATGGTGGGTCTTATTCCAACAAGAATGGAGAGGCTGAGAGCAAAGCTCTGTCCATTCATATAAATACTTGCCTTGAAGGAAATGTGCACTATTAAAATGATATCTGTCAAAACCAGTGCTGTCAGACAGTTTCTGTACTGGCTGATAGAACTAAGGTGTCTACAGTTCAGTTGTCCACCTAGAGCCTGCAGTAGTGTAACTTTGTGAGAAACTGCACAGCCAGCCGCTTATAGAATACTTCATCGACCTGCTCACCCTGGTTGGGTGGTCTGTAGCAGACTCCCAGCACAAAATCACCCTTGTTAGCCTTCCCTTTCACCCTTACCCATAAACACTCAACTTCATCGTCGCTGGAGTTTAGTTCTGTACAGTCAAAACACTCCCTAATGTACAGAGCCACACACCCCATCTCCTTCCTTGCCTATTCCTCCTGAAGAGCTTGTAGCCATCCACCACAGCGTTCCAGTTGTGACCGTGGTCCCACCACGTTTCCGTGATGGCGACTACATCATGGCTGTCCTGCTGCACAGTGGCTTCCAGCTCCTCCTGTTTGTTGCCCATGCTACGTGCATTAGCGTAGATGCACTTGACCTGGGCTATTGATTTCACCCCCATCCTTGGCCCTTTACCCTCAGGCTCATTACTAGCAGGCCCGGTTTTATCCCCTTCCCCCTTCACTTCTAGTTTAAAGCTCTGTCCATGAGCTTTGTTAACTCCTGGCCTAGTACCCTTCTCCCCCTCTGGGACAGGGTTTTCCCATTGTTCACAAGCAGAAATTTCTAAATGTCTATCCCTTTTCTCAAATGAAATGACAGAGTGAGAATCCTCACTAACGCAGCATCCTTCAAGCCCTGGCATGCTTCCCTTAGGTTTAATCCTGACAGGCCCAATTATCTCCCCTTCCCCCCTCATATCTAGTTTAAAGACCTGTCAATGAGCCCTGCTAACTCCTGCCCCAAAATTCTTTTCCCCCTCTGGGACAGATGTATCCCACCTGCCACTGGCAGGCCAGGTGTCTCCTATAGCCACCTATGCTCAAAAAAACCCCAAAGCCCTGCTGATAACACTAGTCCTGGAGCCATGAGTTGACCTGTTGCCTCCTCCTATCAATTTCCTTATTTCTGGTTGCCACTGGAGGGATAGAGGAGAAGACAACTTGTGTTCCTGATCCCTCGAGCAGCCGTCCCAAATCTCTTTTAATTGATTTTGGCCTCCTCCTACCCATTTCAGAGCTCTCCAGGTCAGTAGCTCACCCACACTAATGGTATAAACTTTAAATGTAAAGTGTATGTCCAGCTAATGCTATATATTGTTTGTCCTGGATGTAAATATAAACCTTTTCTCACTTACGTTTTTTCCCTTTGGCATATGGTTCACTTTCTAAATGTAGTGCTGTACGAAAATTGTTTAAGATAATCTGTTTCTCTAGGAAAATTTTTCTAAGAAACCTGAGGCATGTTCTTCCAACTAGAATATATTTTCTAACCTTTGACTCCCCAAAAAACTTTATCCATATGAAGGAAAGGTTGTTATTTTCAATATTTATTTTGTACGTTGTTCAGTGTTTCCTTTTTTCTCCTCGTAATCCAAACCTAGTTGATAGAGGCTTAATAAATGGACTAGCTTGGCAAAATATTTTTTTCAGAGTCCTCAGAATTCTGTTTCCTTGTGTCTTACTAAGATATGATACACATTACACCTTTGGCCAGAATAAATAGTTGTGAAAATGTTTCTTCCTGAGTGTCTCAGTAAAAACGTGCGCAATTGAAGTGCTAGAACCAAGAGCAAGAAAGCAGCAAACTTTCTGTCTTGTGGTGGGAGGAGATGCTCTGCTCTTCATACATTGTAGAGAATTGACAGGTAGAGGTGTGCTGTGCTCCAGATGGTGGCCAAATACAGGTCTGGGTTGCCACGGAAGGCTTCTTGCCTTGTGTTCTGTCGGGGAGTCCAGGTGCTGTCTTAGCAGGAGCTGCAAGCAGAGACCTCTCTGAAGTTGCTCAAAGTCCCAGTGCTGCCAAGGTGCTATTCAAAACCTGCCTGTGTGGCCATCTATTGCTGACTTGTCTATTAAAGCTGTCCTGCTCCTCATTAAGGACCTGCTGATCTGGCAATGTTCCTGGTCTTACACAATCTCTTACCTTTGCCTTGTTCTAATTGAGCCACCTATCCCTGTATGGAAGACCGGGCTGCATTTCTGACCCAAGACGTACGCAGAGGTTGTCTTTGTATTTCTGGTGTCTGTAGAAGGATTATGAACCAGGACCTGCTTTAGATTAAAATGTAGACTGAGCACATTTTCCAACCATATATTAAAAGAGTAGGGTCGGAGGTGCCAGGAGACGGGGAAAGTGAAGTGACAAGGTGTGCCACTCTGTGCACCAGCAGTCTTACCGTTGTCGAGTTCATGGGGAAGGTGTTTACAGCAATAGAGAGCATTAAAGGAAAATAGTCAAATGACTGGATTATTCCGGAAAACAAGGTGGGGGAAAAAATGACGTTAGCTTGGAGGGTGTGAGGGGAAAGCATGCGCAAGCATGAAAGTGCTTACATCTTAAACATGTGGTCAAAATCTCTAGCTTGCAGAATTCTCTGCAGAAGACATTTAACCACACAGAAATAGGGCAACAAATGGGTCCTGGAAACGAGAGGCAGCAAAACTCAAATCTCAACTAGCTACCTGCATGCGTATAGAGTAAGGGAGAGAGTGTGTGCACGTGCGTGCGTGTTTTGTTTCTGTCGTACTAAATAACTGTCTACTCAGCTTTTGAGAGTTTCTTGTCTGCTGTCAGATCTTTAATTCAGTTTTTCCCATGGTCTGAAGGCAGGGCAGCACACAGCACAGCCCGCTGAGAGCTCTTTCATTACTTTTGTCTATAATTTCAATTAAAGCTAGTTTGCACTTTTATCATGAATTTATACTTTGAAAGTTAATTTTTTTCCTACTACTTTCTTCATGTTTGAGTAGAAGGTAGTGATTACCCCTGACTCCCCTCTGCCCCTTCCCATATGCTTTATTATTCCACCTATGAGGGCCTTTGAACAAATCGTTTAAAGCCAGGATTGGTTCATCAAACTTAGTTTATGTGTAATTTAGGGGATGATAGATTGTGGGCTAAAGCAGTGTACAAAATTACTTTCTTCTTTACAGAGAGGATATCTTGTTGTATCCTTCAAATATTGGTCTGAAGCAAGTGTTAAAAATTACCTGCAAAGCTGAATGAAGCAAGGGGTTCCGTGTCCCTTTCAACCAGCTGTTGTGGGCAGAGGAACACCCTGAATTCACTGAAACTCTAGTGAGAGCTCAGCAGACAGGTAGGAGCAGGGACGTTGTTAAGAAGGTCCGGAACTAAGAGGGATCTGAGCTTTTTCAGCACAGTTGTGTGGTTGGGGCTGTGGTTTGGAGACCTCTCTCCTCTGAAGGTATCTCAGGACGGTTCAGCGTTGCAGCTCTTCTTAAAAAGTAGTAAACATTCAAGATTGCCATTAGCTAAGTATATTTTACGATTGAAACTGTATTGTGCCAGATGCTCAGCACAACACACTACACTGTGGTTCTTTTAAGGCATGTCTTTTGAAGTAAACCTTTTGAATAATTCCTGTTTGTTCCATGATTTGAGAGAATGAACTTATGCAAGATTGTGCATTTAGTTAAAAATAAAAAAAGGTGGGGGGAAGCTTGTTGGATTAGGCAGCAAAGCTCCCTTCAGGAATGTTGAGTTTTAACTGTAAAGTATGTGTGAGGTCAGGCGTTTATTTCAAAGATTAATTAAAGATTAGGTTCCTGTGAACTCCATTTAACCTGCACTTCTATTCCTTTTTGTATGGCAGAAAAGTCTTGCAACTGAAACCTCCTTTCTGTCGTTCTGCTAGTTTTTTCTCCTTAGCCAGCGTAAAGCGGCGTGGTTTACAAGAAGCCCATGTTTGTGCAGAAGTTGTATCGAGTGTGAGATCTCCTGAACTCAGAGGCTATAACCTCAGTGTACTACAAATAGTGTGTAATGCTCACGGGAAGTAATTTGGTTTGATTAAAAACACAGTTTTGTTTTAATTGAAATGCTATTAATTCTCACGCTGTCTGGAGATGTGGTTTACATTATAAAATGGGTCAGTTGGGAAGGTTGTGCTGTGCTTAAATATTTCGGGAGAGAAGGAAACCGGTGCCTTGTTCTCTTTCTCTCCCTATGAGCTGATCAGAGGAGGTTCTTTCTTTTTTTTGTTCCTCCTGATGGGACCGGGGGACAGCGGCAGGAGGTGACAACTGTGTCCTTCATGGTTCTCCCCTTTTAAACCAGCTGAAACACCGGGGGGAAGTGGGCAGAAGTGAGACCTCACTTCCCCTTCGCAGCAGGAAAGCGGCTCCCCCGTGTTGCAAGGGCAGCAGCAGCAAAAGCAAAACCTCCCCGGGCTGGTTCGCTCCCTTGCCCACCTGAAACCTCCTTGTTGGGAGTTTTGGCCCTGCCCCACCATAGGCTCGTGTGGTCCTGGTGAGGTGGATGGTTTCCCTCTCTGTCTGCAAAATGGAGAAACCTCCACCGATCAGTGCCGTGGCCACCCTGGGTGCGATTGCTGCTGCACTTCCACGTCCGGAAATCTTGCAGAAGCCTGATTAAGCTCTCCATCAGACAACGAGAAGCAAGGCTGATCTTGCTAATACATGGCTTTATGCATCTCAGTTTTGTGTGGTGATTTCCTTTCACTCAGCACTGAGAGAGGGAAGATGAGCTTTGCTTGTGTGTTTCTTCTGAAAGACTGAACTAGTCAGTGTTACCCAGATGTTTTCTGTGGAACTGTTCATTACAAAATGTCCAGAAATAGCAAAGGAAGACTTGGGCTGGCAGCTCAGATGCTCAACCCTTCTATGGTCTTGAAGTTACAGGACCAAAGACTGTTATGTTGAAATCAAGCGCGTAAATTTGTGGTGAGAAGCGTTTGTCAACTTTCTTTCCTTTTCAGTTGCAACATCTTTGGCTGCTTTAGAACTAGCTACAGATGACCAATGCAAATTTTGAATTTGTTTTAAAAACTACTTTTACATACTTCCCGGGAACTCCCTCCAAAATGCTTGCTAGTACTTTTTAATTTTGCAGTTTGGCTGGTGGTTTCTAGCTCTTCCTTGTCAGAGGTAGGCGTACAAGCAGCCAGTGGTTTCCTGACAAGGACTATGTGTCTGGCTGCCTTTTTTTCCAAGACCACTGTATGATTGTGTCTTTACAGCTGAGGATCTGCACAATCAGAGATTGTTGTGCAGAGGGGACACTAAACACAGCACATTTTCCAAACATCATACTTGCCTTCAGAACAGAAAACATCTGTGGTATCAAGCGTTTGTTTAGAGAGAAGTGACAGATAACTATGTAGTCCCTTAACACCAAACACCCTAATTCAGGTGGTTTTAGCAATGTTTCATATGTTTAGTGCAGGAGGGTTTGGCATCTTGTACGCACAAAATGCTGACTGCTAACTATGTAGTCCCTTAACACCAAACACCCTAATTCAGGTGGTTTTAGCAATGTTTCATATGTTTAGTGCAGGAGGGTTTGGCATCTTGTACGCACAAAATGCTTAGTCTTTTTACATGCTTATTGTCACTGTAGAGGAGACTTATGAGTTGGCATCAACCAAGGATGCAAGGATTTCACTCTTCGAGGTTTTAAATGCAATTTTCTGCAGAAACAAAGAGGAATTGGGTGAGTGATTGAGTGAAAGGTCAGGATGAGCATGTGATGGAGTGAGCTGGTGTTAGTCACCAAACACCGTCAGAGGAGTACAAGTGCTTGCGTCAGAGAGCTACTCCGAGATCCACGGGTGAAATGCGTGGGGCAAAAAAAAGAAGGAATTAACAAGGTGATTTCTTGTATGCTGACTGTCTTGGAGGGAAGCAAAAGCAAGCGGTTCCCAGGTGGGGTCTCAAACTGCTTGGGGTGTTGGCCCCGAAATTCCTCCTGCTGTCCTGAAACCCATATCTGGGTTAGCCAGTGGGTTCAGCAAACACCAGAGAATTTTTGCAGCAGCCCAGGAGAGGATGCAATCAGGTGGGCTTAGAGCCTCCTTCCCCTAGAAAGCCAGGAATTTTTAAATAACAGAGGTAGTGACACCCTAGAAATGATGTCTAGTACAGATGAGGAGATGAGAATAGTAATGCTGGATCTGACTGGCAGCATGTGGTCTGCAGGTGAGCAGGGGACAATAAAGAAGAACACAACCTCCTGGCAGCAAAGTCTACTCTGAACACCAAATATTTGCCAACAGTTTGTGCACGGACACCTAGGGCTGATGCGTGTCACACATTGCTATCCACCCTGCCCGTCCACATCTGGAACTTTTGGCAAATAACTCACAAATCCTTGTTCTTTTAACTTCTCTGTGTGCTTTGCCTTAATGTTTTCTTATGACATTGAGCTGCTGGTGTTACACAGGGCCCGTGGAAAGACATCACTCTCTACACAGTAAAGGCACAAAGTAATCCAAGTGCAAGGGTCTTGTGAGTCTTACCTCTCTGGTCAGCCCGTCCTGGCCTCCTGGCTGCACTCGTTGCTGGAAAGGTTAGACAAGATGGATCCTGCTCCAGGCTTTGGCTTTCCCTGCTGGCTGACCCCTGTCTAAGTCCTTTTCTGCCCTAGAAGAGATGTAAAAGT